TAACTTGTAAAGCAAGGACAAGCTATATGAAACAACTCCTATTCAAATTCCTATTCAAAACAATAATTCCTTTTTCACAGTCATCATTATGAAGGCAAAATTATAGGTTTCCTTCATACATTTTGGTTTTTGTTCAGAAATGAGAACAAATCTGTCGTTATAATTTCTTGTAAGTATTAACTAAACTACAGACTAGTGACAAGTCTGTACTTAAGCTCAGAAAACCAGATAAACCTGATGGGCCAAAAATACTTGTGCCTTTAAGCGGTGCTTTCTTAGGGTACCTGCAACATTTCAAACGTAATTTTCTCTCAAATACTGTACTTACATTAAGAAGCCATTTTAGCACATAGGAAACTTCCTATCATTTTTAAGCAGACTGATAGATAAGTTTTTGTTTAGTAAAGCAATTTAATTTTACTTAAGGAGAATGACTTTGGAAGCTCATATTTAGCTTATATTTTCACATAGGTGAACATCATTGTTTTAAAAATCCTAGCCTACCAGAAATTGAGTTCAAATAAAACATCAAATGAAGTAAATAATAACAAGAATGCAGTAAAGTACCACTGTTTTTTGATTTCTGCAATTAAAGTGAGACAGTATCAAAATTCTCAGCACAGATAAATGACCTAGGAAAATATAAAACCAGTGAAATATTGAAGAAGCAGTAAAAAAACTCAACATATGGGAATTTTAAATGATTTAGGGTAGTATTCTTATAAGCTATAACATAAAAGGAAATATGCTATACATGTACCTATCAAAATTTATTATTTATGTTTAATATTCACATATCTAATTCTGTTGTTGTAGGCAACCTGCCCAACTGCTAAGTATAGACTTGTCCATCATTATCTTCATTATGCTTTTTCAATCATACAAACCAACTGTTATAATTAAATGAGCAACCCAATAAATCCCACTTTCAAGTAGGACTAAATAAACAGAAGATTGTTCTGGAAGATCAAACACATCTCACCTGGCAGAGGGACCTTCCTCACTAAGAAACTCTCTCTATTGGCTGAGGAACTGAGACAATACAGTCACTCTCTAAGGTAGCAAAACCTACACATTTCACACCCAAACACCTATGATCACCTTTTCCAACAGAATAACAGCCCTCATTTAAATCTTACCAGCTTGTAACAATGATCCTTTGAGGGTGGATGAATTAAAAAACACTAACAAAAACATCTCACCTTATGTGAGCTGGGTCTGCTGTGATACAGTGGCTGTGCGTGGTGCTGGCTGCTGCTCTGAGTTCCCGCTTCTCGGATAGTGTTACCAGGCTGAGGTTTCCCTGGTCTAGCAATTGTTAAATTCACCCTCTCTCCACTAGCCTGGAGAAAACACACATACATTACCACCAGTCGTTAATGATGATTCTCATTTAAAAAATTATAGGCAGGGTGATTTTCAATGCACTTCTCAGAATTATACCAGAGCCTTGCCTGGGTAGTGACTGTAAGCACCTAGTGGTGGGGAAGAAGGGAGTTCATTTCATGAGCTAATATTTTATTTTTTTAATAATTTTATTTATTTATTTCTTTTTCCCCAAAGCCCCAGTAGATAGTTGTATGTTGTAGTTGCACATCCTTCTAGTTGCTGTATGTGGGACGCGGCCTCAGCATGGCCGGACAAGCGGTGTGTCTGTGCGCGCCCGGGATCCGAACCCGGGCCGCCAGAAGCGGAGCGCGCGCACTTAACTGCTAAGCCACGGGGCCGGCCCAATGAGCTAATATTTTAAAACTTCTGCAGTTAAAATTACACACATACCCTCTCTTGGACATGCCCTCCCCAATCCCGCCTCCAAAATAACCAAGGCAAAGCAGTCAAACTTCTCGTGTTCTCATCTTCCCACGATTTCTTGAAGAGTAACTTTCATACTTCTTTGCCCCTTCAAGACTGGCCTTGGCTGGGCCGGCCAAGGCTTAGGCCCTGTGGCTTAGCAGTTAAGTGCGTGCAATCCGCTACTGGCGGCCCAGGTTCGGATCCTGGGCGCGCACCGACGCACCGCTTCTCCGGCTGAGGCCGTGTCCCACATACAGCAACTAGAAGGATGTGCAACTATGACATACAACTATCTACTGGGGCTTTGGGGGGG